TGTGTGTGTGTGTGTTTGTCTGTTGTACCGATTTCTCATCTCGAGACCTACAAAAGCAAAAGGGCTGAAACTTTGGGAACTTAATCTACACGCGCATACGGGTCCCATTTCGCAAAATGGGCGCTCTTACCCACGTGGTTTCCACGTACGGGCTCGTCAAAGTTCTTGGCAGGTGAGCTGCCAACTTAGGGACCAGAAACGCTAGGAAGCTGAAATTTTAAGGGGTTGTTCTTCGTTTACGTAGAACCTAGTGACTTCAAGCTTTGCCCCTAGTTATGCGTCCTTCTCACGTACGGCCGATCAAAATTTTTGACGCGTAAGTTACTAACTTGGGAACAGAAAAGCCAGAAAACTAAAAATTTAAGGGCTATTTTCATAGAGCCTGGTAGCCAATTTCAATTCTCTTAGCTAGAAAATCTGCCGAAAGAACAGTGCTGATAGCAACAAAAATTGCTGGAAACCACGCAACAAACGCATTTTCGCATTGGCAGTCGGTGCGCTGACAAATTATTATTCATAATTCCGCGTTTCCCATTTTCCCTCACTGGCATAAAAATATTGCGTATTTGCCCTTTCATCGCAAACTTTTCCATAGATCCCTGCCTAGCCTTTCAGCATGATGTTGTGTGAAAATCAGAAGAGGATAATTTTTCAGGATGCTTTGGATCAAACATATCGGGCACTCACCTGTGCAACAGTACCGGTACCGTTAAAGCCTGTTAATGAGTCGGCATTGGCTCGTCGTCGGCGATTGATGCGAGCGAAAAGCATCTCCCGTGATGATGACATTGAGGAAGAGGCGAGCTCTGCTGAGTTAAGTGGCGAGAGTGCCGTTGTTGCAGCTAGCTGAATTCCTGTTTATTTAATTGTTAAGCCATCTTCCGGATTTCTGGATTTTCGTCACTTCACTGTTAAGCCATTTCCTGATTTTACGAATTTTTGTTATTTTACTATCAAGTCATTTGCAGGTTTTCTGTATTTTCTTTCTTGTATTAGAATATTTTCTATTGTTATGAATGTTTGCTATTTCGGCATTAATTCATTTTCAGGCTTTCCAGATTTTTGTTGTTTCCTTATTAAGCCATTTTTCGGTTTCCTGTTTTCTGTGCGTTTTTACATATATGCAAATTGCAAAAA